ATTTTACGTTATTTTCAACTATTTTACTATCCTCCACTGAAAGGATAAGATGATTAAAAAACGGGATTTCAGGAAGGAGATGCGATCAATCGAATGGATGCCCCCCGAGGGGGGGGATATTTCCCGGTTTCGTGTTTGTCAATCAGTATTAAATGGTCTAGCAGTCTGCAGATAGGTTAAAAAAGGGGTGAAGAAGGTGAACACACATGTGCCCCACGGACTGTTGTCAGATTTGTTCACTGGGTTGAGAGGCAAGGGGTAAACACTTGGGTAAACAACTTTTCTATATTTCATGCTAATTGGCAAGCATGCAGAAATTATAAACATGTGGGGCGATAGGCTTTGGGCAATTCGGTTAGCACGAAAATGAAATGGTTGAAACGAGAGTTATTCACAGGGACGAGAAACTTTCGTGAAAATTCAATATGTGTATGACGAATTGGTCGTGTAAATGAGGCATGACCTGAAACGCTGGGAAGCAGTGTAACAGCCTGGTTAGTGGTTATTAGTGCAGTGCGAATCCATCGACCCAACTGGGGATCAAATCCGGGACCCTACAGATAGAACGCAAGTATCCACAACCTGGGTCACCGGGCAACTGATCAGACAGTTTTACATTCGCGAATGTGTTGCAGGTATCGTTTCTCTCTCATCTTAGCACTAGCTTCCGAGGTTATGACTCGGTTGGAAATTTTCACAACCTCACATCAATCTTTACAGGTACGGCACCAAACGAAAACAGTCAATTATGCGGATGACAACTTTCTTTTGCTTGTTCACTGAATTCCCTTTGGAAAGAGGGGAAGCGACCAATCCAATGGCTGCCATACAATACACAAATGGGGAAAGTCAGGCGGTGCTGGTGGGATTCGAACACTTGTCCTCCGGGGTGATAATTGGTGATGTTACCACCAGACCCACAACCGCAATGTTTCCCGGTAGAGGTAACCTGATTTTCTGGGGCCTCAGCGGGGGAAACTGTGACGGGAACCAAATTCGAGCACAATCTCTTTGACACTGTACGTCACATCATAGCCTGTCCCTCTCGTTCTTCCCTTCCAGTCTGGATCAATATCTTCAAATACTGCTCCGTACGGCAGACATTGTTAAGACATTCGAATCACGTGCCCTAACCACCTGAGACGATACAGTGGAACGGTTTTGTTCAGTGAAAGACGATCTGACCCTAACACACTTCGTCTGACCGTATCGTTACTCACGCGATTTATTCACCATACGCGGGTGATGTTGCGCACAACAGTTGTCAAAGACGGATGGTCGTTGGACATGATCAACGGGAAGAGGCCAAGGACTGGCAGCCGTAGAGGAACACGGTGTGAAGTTTCACCAGCCTCTAAGGCTGGATACTCCAAATAATTCTCCTGTGAATGCATACTGGTTACTATTCACGAAACTACCCACACACGGGACAACAACGACCTCGCATAGACGGGTTGTGCTTTACCGTGCATATTCAAAATGAGAAACGGTCTGATCAGCTGTCCCGGGGTGGCCGAGTGGGTAGTCTGCTCGCGTTCCACCTGTGAGGTCCCAGGTTCGCGATCCCCAGTTATGTTGATGGATTCGCGCTGCTGCTGAGACCCAACCAGGTTGAAACAGCTGGTGTGTGTGTGTGTGTTTAGATGAGCTGTACAAGTGCTTGAACCGTCTCATTCCTTCTCGAGAAATATCGTGTAGCCATTCCCCCGACCTACATGAACGAAACCAATATGTACAATCGATCAACGTGTCGATACGCGCCACCTTTTATCGTGCAAACACACATAAAACAAAAGCGGGAACTGGGTCAATAGACGGATGGAATGCGAACCAGTTGAAAGGACGCGCCGAAAGTCAAATCACATTGGGCATTACCGGTATCTCTGAGAAGAAAACTATCTTCGTTTTGAAGTTTTCAACTTTTGCTTCAACATGTGAAATGAAAAAAAAGCAGAAACTGGATATTTCAGTATTAGCGATGGAGTATGGAAATGAAAAAAAAAAAAACGTGATCAATACGTGATTATTTTTCTCCTGAAATATCGAAACATTGAAGCAATAATTCGTTGAACGGGATCAAACGACATGTCAGACAGCGTTCATTTCGCATGTTTTGGGCAACTTATTCCAGTGGACGATTGCGATTATCTAAAACTGCACGCCTTCCCCTCAGCATTACTTGCCCAGTTTCCTCACCATACTCGTGCAATGCGGCGTAAACAGCGGTGCTCGAACATCAACAATCCATTTTTTTTATCCTGTTCCCGTAATAACCAATTCTCTGCACCGTAGGGCACGACTGGTCGAATTGCTGCAGCATATACGCAACCCTTCACAGACAGCCGAATGTCGCGACGGCACCACAGATGTCTGAAGTTGGCAAATGCCAACTGCGTGCCGATACTTCTTCTGTAACGCATCCGCCAGGTGAGATATAGGCTTCTTTTCTAGCACCCTGAATAGGTTGGGGACTGGACTAAGCCAATCTTGTAGCAACGTTTTACACTTTGAAAATGTAAAACGCATACCGAACATGTCTACACTAGTACTCAAGCTATCCAGAAAAGCTTGCAATTCACCAAGATTTACGCTTAACTGCATACTTCAGATTAGACTTTCTACAACCAGGGACCAGATCGATGCCTTTATTCCCGCAAGATGACAGAGCTGTTTCAAGAATTAAATCTATGATGAAGCTGAATAGAAACGCAGAGAGAGAGAGAGAGAGAGAGAATGCACCCTAACGAATACCACTTTGGCTGGTGAACCCGGCCGAAAATGTCCCGCAAACTGAGCACTGTTAACAACAAGACTGTGCTTGTCTGGATCGCACAAATTCACACCAAACTACGAACGAACCATGAATGTAGTAGAACGTGGAATCGGTTCAGTGAAATGGTAATATTATGTATTACCCCAGAAACTGGAAGGAGACTGAGAGTACCTCACAACGGCATCATTACTTTGACATTCAGAAAAAAAAATACAAACTAGATCGACGGCGAAGAAGAGAGAGAAAAAACACTAGAGATGGGGGTCCGTTCTGTGGTTTGCGTGTGTATCTAACTAATAATGACTGTTACTGAGTTCTGGACTGTAAACAGAGCTAGAGCGAGGACGTGTGACGGGATGAAGAGGGTGAGGGGCGAGGAGAACAAGGTCAAAACGGTCTGTCTATTGATCAGTCCCAATCGGAGATGTCCTAATCTAATGATGTGATGGTCAACACACACACACACAAGCAGAGAGAGAGAGATACACTATTATTATTATTATTATTATTATTATTATTGCTTATTTCGAATTGATCAAACCGAAACACGAACAGACACAACACACGTTCTTCAGTAATTCTAAGGTCAAATCATGCAGTAAAGCGAAGCGATTGTTTCATAAGTGAACCAACGATGAGCATGATTTTTATCGGCAAACCATCGGTTAGATTTGAAGTGAGAAAGAAAGCCAGAAATTTCCACTTTTGTCTGAAAACAAATTGCACGATTAGTTATTTTCCACATCAAGTGGATACACAACAACAAATGTTCACGGAAGACTTCTACTTGGACTGAAACACAAATTACTGGAAAACACAGAAGTTCTGTGATCCATATGACTCGTCAGAATTGGACGTATGGTCGTTACATTGTTACGTGTATATGCACCCGTGTGACAATACTATTACTATTATTATTATTATTATTATTAATCCTACTATTTTTGTATACGAATAAAGAACGCCCAGTGAAACATTTCAGACTTCATTCTGATCAGTATTACATAATTGGTAATACAACAGCCCATTCGTTTAAACCTACAACACGACAATGATTTGAGGGCGGATGGGGCGTATTAGTGTGTGTTGTTCCATGTTCCAGTAAATTCTCGGAAAATATGACACTGCATAGACGGGACCGGGGACTGAAGGCAGTCAGGTCACACATCAAAACCTATGCAGAACCAAAAGCACGATGTGAAAGAGATAAGCTGATAGGAAAATTCAGTCCATTTAGTGACAACCAGCTATAATTCTCTTTCACTGAGGCCACAAAGAAGAAGTGTTAGGGCTTGAAACTCGTGCATGCCAGTTGGACAATAACTTTGGTTGTCTACGGGTGAAAAGCCTATGGGAAAGGTCGTAAGAGAAGTGTGAACGATAGCTTCATCTGAAAAGCAACAAAATATGGTATATATCGTTATAAAAGTAAGAGTACGATGGGCAGCGGTGGCCCGGTGGTAACGTTGCGAAATGATTACCCCGGAGGACGTGTGTTCCAATCCCAACTGCCTTCCACCACCACCACCAGCAACAACAACAACAACACCTGACTTTCCCCGTTCTGTGTTGTATGACAATCCTTTGATTGGCTGCTTCCCCTTCGTGAAAATTGTATCGCTATGCAGTCCATAAAATGAAGTAACAGAAATTCAAATCGATAATCTGGAACACTTTTATACGGGGACTGGATAAACAATCGTCAAACTATATTCCATTTGTCGGGGAGAAAATTAGGGAAAATGGATATGAGTAAAACCGACGCGAGTACACATAGTTTGCAATTTTTTTGTTTTCGCTAAGCAAATCTGAACAGCCAAAAGTTTTCCAACGAAAACCAAGGCTTGACGATTTGAGNTGACAACAACAATGCGAAAATACACATTAATGACAAGTGAAAACCAGGATGAACCACAGGAGCTGAAAAGCTAAGAAGCAGTGAACAGTTATTTCGGACCTGACTGAGTCTCACATCAGCATCAGCGAACGCATTCACCAAGCTGGGGATAGGAACCTGGGACCTCACGGATAGAGCGACGCTTCGTTTGCACGAATTTCACCAACAGAATTAAATCAAGCATTTGTACCATTATGTTGTAATAATGAATCAACTGTCTAGGACTCGTTGTCAATTGCGAACGAATTATATCGCTAGATCCAATCTGACTAGTTGTGAAGCAATCCAGATCAGAGTTGGGAGGAGGAGGCAGGATGCAGGGGGACAAACCTGAGTTCCGTTAGGCAAGGCACTGAGAAACGTGCGCGACACCAATTCCTGTACACGACTGGGCACGGGTGTGGCTTGCCATCGTTCCTGATTCAAAATCATATCCAGTTTGGCGCTTCGTTCATGGTGAAAACGTTGAATGGAATTGCGTGTTAAGGTTAGCAATAATCGAGCCAAAGCAGTGGTTGAATTAGCCACAGACTCGCTGATTGGTTTGATGCTTGACCGAGCATCCGTAGGTTGATCCGGAGTGAGAAAATAGGATTCGGCTTCCTCGCGTAGATGAAGAAGAAACGCCTGTAACAGTATGAGTGAGAAAGGCATTGAATGTCAGTTGTGAAACGGATCACCAGGGAACGATAAAGTTTATTATGATTGAAGATAGAAATAGAAGCAGAAAAAGTAAAATCACTGGGAACGTGTTAAGCGAATAAAAATTTTAAAAAAACCTAAAGTGATTCGCACACTGAACAATTGCTGGCGTCTATGCCTCCGAAACCTGAGTGTGGTCGAGGGAGACGGGTGTGCCCGGCTACGCCTCTTTTGCATCTCGCGAAATGCTCCCACATACGACCAAGCGTCTCAAATAGCTTATTCCGAGGAAGTCCTGTTCGTTGTCTTCTCGTTGGGGCGGAGGAATTTTTCTACCCAAATGAGAGAACGAAAAGTCAAATCCGTGACTATTAACCAAGTCGGTGAACCACTGATAGTTGGCAAAAAACCTGATTTCAAACCAATCAAGAAGAGGCGTACGAACCAGGCACACACCTTCCTGATCATGGTAGTGGTCACCGGCTTGATGGGGGATCGAGGTGTATTGGGTACCTTGGAAGTTTGACCTCGTCCAAAGGGCGAATAATTCCATTCGCTGGACAGGGGTCCCCAATAGAATGCTGCATCTGCACATCGCCCCGGCGCTTTGCAGGTCAGGTTTTGGTTAACTGAAGGCTCCAGTTGTGGATTCCCCAAGAAGATCCACCTAATCGGGTCTGGGTAATCTGGCAGACCCTCGGGTGAACCATGAACCTTTTCTTTCTTATTAAGATAATCGTACCGTGATTTGTTTGGTACACAGTTCGGATTCAGACGTGTGTAAAAATAATACCAATATTAATATCCGTTTTCATTGATTGTTTGTTGTGCACGGATTCAAAAACATTCAGAACATAGACTTGCACAGCTCTGAGGAAAGAACGACCGCCATCAATCAGCTATACAAACAATAGGAGAATAGGGACGATATCCACCGAGTTGTCGTGACTCGGACATAATCCTCTATTCCACCTCGCTGGATAGATACTATATTCAAAGGGGCTAGGCCGGATCTCCAAAGAAAACCCTGTATACTTCGGTTAGGGGAAACAGTTATTATTATTGCCACAAAGTAGCTATGGAGTCACGCGCTTCTGATGACGTCTTCGGTCGCTTGAAACAAGAAAGGTTCTCCAGGGCGTTTGTTCAATTTCCTTTTGGATATTGTGTTCAGTTAACCCTCATTCCCTATGCCTGATGAGATTAAGCAGCTTAGAGTAAAAACTCTAATAATTTATGGATTTCGAGATCGTGTATACTACTAGAGACTGCGTCTTTTGGTGGGCAAAGACTTTGGTCAGCCGTACCTCTTCAGTTAAGCCGGAATCAAAAATCACTCTGTGGTTTAAGCCAACTCTGTTTTGAGCTCATAAGGTTCGGGTTAAACATAATCATGAAGAAGTTCATAAGATCTCGTTGGAAGAAGGGGTTGCCACACTGACTGTCCCAGAGTTTGAGATAAAGCCAGATTAAATTAGTCTACACCTTTCCTTCTTCCTGATCCTCATACGCTATCTGATTTTGGACTGCCATTGAACATCACACCATACCCCCGTTTGTCCGTTACCCTCATTTATATATTATCCCGTCCTACCACAATTAACCGTGTGGTCATACCTCCATAGTCGTCCCTTGCGGTGCTGATCCAGACGCCGTTTGAAAGCAGTGCGGATCACTAGAAGGGAATTCCAGAGCGTTGTTGATCACCACGAGAGTCGGTAGACTAATGGAAGACAAAGTGACTGAAGTTTTGCGCAACGTGAGAAAGTGTCCCAGCGTGCATTCATCTGTCCATAGTGGGAAACGCTGCTGCAATTCCAGGCCCANCAGGCCCATATCAATCATCAGGGTCTTCCTCAAAGAGATCAGATTCCCTCCTCCAATGAGCCGACCAGTGGCCTGTAGAAGACCTTCGTTGTTGGACTCAACTAGTCCAATGATGAGTCCAGTTGCAGCACATTGTACAAGCTCTAACTTTGCCCGTTGAAAACTTAAGAAGTGGCTTAACCAGATCAAATCTCACTGGTCGATCCGTTAGTATGACATGTCTCGCGAATAGGTCGAAACTCTGAGATAGAAACGAATTTATTTTTATTTTGTGCTTTCGCTAGACTTTTCGCTTGTCCGGAGGGGGGGGGCTTGGCTCACCGCGCATGGTACACAACGCAATCTGGCCTGCAATCAAACTGTCCGTGCGGACAACTGGTGGCTGTATTCAAAACTACCGCAAACCTGTGCACGCCAGCGGCCACGTGTGACAAAGATTTAAAGCCACGTGATCGAGGTTTGGTTCGAGAGAGAGTGATGGCAGATCTGTCAACCAGAATCGAACTATCCACTGACTTCGGACGACACAACTCGGTTTGGTGTGTGTGTGTGTGTGTGTGTGTGTGTGACAAATCGAGGCCTCTTGTCAGAGGCTCTTGAAGGATGTGCGTACGGGAGTGCGTGCACGTCGATAAAAGTTTGTGCACAATTATGAGTCGGCATATACGCACGCACACCTGTTCACAATACAGACGGACAAATGCAGATAAGTCCGTCTGACGTGCACAAAACGTGTCAACACCAAGAAGGGGCAAACAGGCTGGCATGGCAGAGAATCGATGATAAATGTTGTCGAAAATTTGATGTGAAAAAATTAAAACAATGTGGATAAAAACTAGCCAGATAGCCAGCACCATGCACATGTGTTAAGTTTTTACCAGACCAAGCATAGGTCCGCGTTCACAAGGATCGGATAATCGGTTACGACTGACGCACATGTAGGACCAACAACAACAATAACAATTACAACAACAACAACAACAACAACAACAGATGACAGTAGTTAGGTGATGAACGGATGCAGTTTGTCACGCACATCCTGCTGTATCCGGATTGCATACAGCATTTTGGGCTTCCACGATATGGCGCAAAACATACACGGTCATTTCGTGAAAACTGCAGTGAATTTTTCCGTAAGTTTGGTTTTTCTTCCAAGTAATCAACATCAGTGCCGAGTGGGATGCGGCCAGTGAGATGAGGGCGAGGGCAGGGTGGGAAACGGGGGGGGGGGAGAAATGTGAAATCAATCCTATCTCAGGAGAGAAGAGTTTGGTGGGAGTTTCACTTTGTTTCACGCATACCTTTGCACGTTCGTGTGTGTGTGTGTGCTGGATTTGACTGCTAATCGTTTGATCGACCAATAATTAAAAATGAGTATAATTTTCGAATAAAAACCTGAGAGCATTGAATGAAAGCAACCGAACAATGGGGGAATATATTTTGAACAGGTTTGGAATGTTGAGGTACTACTCGGACTTTTGAGTAGTTCGCATAAAGATGCAATCGACGATTTCTTTCAACGGCCAAAATTGAATAAGACCTGTTGGATCGATTTGCTGCTGTTCGGTACGGTGAATACAAGAATGCGCATCTGATAGTGCGAACTCTGCAATATCGTTCCAAATGAGATAGTTTGTTGTATGAATGACAATTTACCGATACCCTGATCCTGGTTCGACATAAACAATTCGCCTCTACCAGGCACCGCCTTGTAGAATTATAACACGATTAGTTCACTGTCAGGTTATCAATAGTGACATTATAGTTGACATCGTATATTGATGTTCGTTCCGAGAGAAAACTTAGGTAGGCACCAGTAGATGATCTTCGAAGCAAGATCGAATATCCGATGCGCCGGTTTGGAGAGCAGTGAGAGAGAGGGGGGGATGAAAAAAAGATTCAAAAACCTCTATCAGATGAAAACTACACGATGATTCATCTGGAAAAAGAAAAATATGATCTGTTGACAATTTGATTATGTCTAACCACTTGCCTGGAAATCTTGGAGCAATTTAACCAGCCGAATAAATTCGTCCGAACTGAGTCTGTCTAAGGCACTATCACCCCCGGTGACGGGTTTGGCCATAGGATTCATACGGGTCAGAGTTTCAGTGGACGTAGCTCGGGGTGATGGAGATGATGACTCCATCACTGTCAGTCGAT